ACAGCAGATAATTGATTAGGAAATAGCTTTCTCCTACAGCCTATTTTATATCTTTATTTAGTTATTCACACTGCCAAGAGCCCTGCAAAAGCCCTGGCTCACAGACTTCTCTGCTGCCACCTTTTGTTCTGCAGGTGCTGCCTTGCCCTCAGGTGACCGTCGGTGATGCAAAAACTGCAGAAATAGCTTTCTGCTCTGTGATGGGCCCACCACTCCCCAAGTGTCCATTAACAGTAAAACTCGTCCCATTCATGTGAATGAGATGTGCAAATAATATTACATGCTGCATTTCAGTATGAAAGAAAGCATCCCCTGTTTTTACCGTTGCTTTTCCTCAAGTTTTCTGCCACTATTTAGGCGGTTGACTAGCAACATGCTTTGCCAATACTGAGCAGTCTTCTAGTGCTTGTTGTTGAGGTTCACCTCTTGTTGTTTTATCTATTTTATTGGAAATGGCATGCTAAAGAAAATCATAGACATAAATCAACTCGGTCCCCCAGGCTAAAGAATTATTTTCGGGCTCTCTGAAATTAGCATGTACGTTTCAAATTTTTCCTGGGGTTTTCCAAAGTGACACTGTTGGAGTCCAAGTGTGAGGCTGTCCTGCTTGAGATGCTGCCACCTGGAGATACATCCTTTGGAAGGTATTATCTGGGCTGGGTACTCCACACAATCTGAAACTCAGGCCCTTTGATGAATCTCAGGATAGGCACCCCAAATTGCTGTAATTTCTCAAAGGAAAGTTCATATCTATCTCTTTGCTGCCTGTATCCATATATTGACTTCGCACACAAATATATAAACATATGTATGTGTGTATGCATATGTATTGGTGGATGTAGGCAACCACACTCTTGCAGCTTTTCAGAGGCATCCTATTCATCCAGCATGGCTGCTGTGGCATATCTGCTTCTGACAGGAGGGTGTTTATATGTTGAGGCCAAGGAGCTTGGGTAGTACTTTCAGCTCTGGCATCAGTCTGCTGGGTTACCTTGGACCAACCTGTCTTTCTCCTTCTGAGATTTTTTCCCCCCATTTATAACTTTTTTTTTTTTTTTTTGTGCACTGCTTTTCAATCAGCTGTTGAAATGTGATTATATGAAACCCAGTAATTGTTATCATATAACTTATTTTTCAATCATGTTTACATGTTTAGTCAATAAATCAATCTGAAATTTATCATAAATACCTACCTTTAGCTTATATTCCCAACCACTGGAAAACAGCAAATAGTTGACGAGTTGTTAGTATATTCTAGTAGGCAATTATTTGCTGGACAGAAAATCAAACTCCGTCTGACCTGCACTGAGGCTGAATTTGACATCAGCTGTAGAATTCCTCTCACCAAACTTCAGACATGTTAGTGCAAGTCTAGGGTTCTTCTACTGCAGATGGAGAAAGGCAAAACCCTCAGGAGTACACTTCTTCCCTCCTCTTTTAGGAACAAAACATCCTCCGTTATCTCTCTCCTTGGACTGCAGAGGAGGCTGTGTGCCTGGATTACACTAGACTCCTGATTTTTAATAAACTGATATAGGTGACAGACATCCCATCCCTTCAGTCTTACGTGATCGACTACAGCACAGTTTGGTGTCTGGCAGATTTAGACACATTTTCTGAAGATGATAAACCCCTCAAAGTAAACTTGGCTAGAAATATTGAGAAAACTTGAGTATCATAAAAATGATGTTAGGTCTCTCACTAAGCACTAAACATAATTTAGAGTGATATAAGAACCTGTATGAAACTAATATCTGACTGTATAAAGAAACATTAAAGGTTTGATGAAATAGCATTGGTAGATTGGAGAAAAAGGCATCAAGAATCTTCTTATTTAATCTGTGGCAGAAGTAGGTTTCTCATCCTAAAGACATGATCTGTTATTGTCAATACTTACGGGAGCTTTCCTAGAAACAGTCAAAGCCCCAAAAAGACTAAAGTGACCCATTTAGAACAGTTCTAGTTTTGTCTTCTTTAGAAACTAATCTGAATGGATCAAAAATTCTGGAAAAATTAGGAATATCCATGCGAAGTTAACGTTTCCCTTTCCCCTGGTACCCTTCCCTCACATTTCCAAGCAGAATCCCAGCTCCCAGTGAAGGTGGAGAGGTGGCATTTGCTTGGATGCTTTGAAGCTGACTCCTTGTAGAATAAGTTTTAAATTCTCCCTTTAGGAGGCAAAGGTTTGAAGTACTCTGTAGCATTGCAGTTGCTAGCTAGCAGACATTTGCTAGCATGTTCCAAGGAACTGGTCACCAGTCTCATTGAAGTATTTGTCTCTAGTGGGATTCACACTGTTCATTTGCTCAGTTCTATGGCAGTTTTTACTCTTTGGTAATAACAAGGTGATAATCAGTCAGGTAGAATTTCTGTCCCCACTGAAATCAATAGCAAAACTTCCACAGACTTCAGTGGAACAAGCAGCTTCAGATTCCCTGATATCTTATGCTCTACTCATTTAAATACTCCCAATTACCTTGTTTGAAATGGACTATCCTTTTTTACTAGGGCTACAAAGAGTATATTGTTTTTCTATTTCCAAAGCGAAAGTATCTTTTCCTATTTCCAAGGAAGAGATCTTCGTACTTATTAGCCAGAGCCCATCCATACATTTTGAAAGAACAGCATCTGTCATTAAGACCTAGGATGACCAAAGGTATTGGGACAGATTTCTTACTAAGTGTATACTGGCAGAGCCCGGCAGGTTCAAGACCATGCCTATAGCTTCCAGTGAAACTTCAGATGTACAAAAGCTGAAATTATATCACAGACTGAAATATGATTGCTTGCCCATAACAGTTGAAATACAATACGTTCACTCATCACAAAAGGTCCTTCTGCCTCCTAAGAATCTGTTTTCCAAAAGAAATTACTTCTAAAAGCTGGGACTGGGAAGAATGGAAAAAGTTTTCAAAGTAAAGCAGCTGAATGTGCTGAGTGAGTAGATAGGAACTACTGGATATGAAGGGTTCTCAGGGCTCATAATCACTGAGAGTCTTACTCCCTGTATCATTTAATTCCATTCAAAGTTATAGGCAGGTTGGCAGACTTACAGTGATAGTATATTAAAAAAGTAAGATCTTAAAAATATTGTGGAATGGATGTCCCAGATTTGTGTCACTGCTAACAAAAAAGCTGCACCTGACTGGAGAGCCTACACAGCATGCTGGTGTGGCCATCTCAGCCACAGGAAAAGGCATGACCTGAACCCACATATGAAGATACATGGGATAATTTGGTCACAAGACACAAAACTGCAGTGAGTCCACTTCACTGCACACTGCGATAAGATCCTCCCAAGTCTTCTCTTCCTAAGGGTGAACAAACGCATTTTGCTCAGCCTCTCCTCATGTGTCCTGTGCTCTGGTCCCATGGCCATCTTGGTGGCCCTGCATTGGATTCACTTCAGTGTGTCCTTGTCTGTCTTTTACTAGGAGCCCAAAACAGGGCACAATCCTCCAGGCATGGTCTCACAAACACAAGGAGAAGGCAAGAATCATTTGCTACAGCCTGCTGGCTACACTCTTGCTAAGACAGCCCAGCATTTGGTTGATCAGAGATGCACTGCTGATGCACTCGTACTCATGTTGGAGTTGTGCATTGGGACCCTCGGGACTTTTTCTGCAAAGCCAGTTTGTACGTAGCAAGTTTTGGCCCGGCTTGTCCTGCTGTGTGGGCTTGTTCCATCCCAGACATGGCACTTTTTGTTTGACTTTGTGGTACTCCCTGAAGTTTCTCTCAGCCCATTTCTCCAGCCTGTCTAGGTGACTGCAAATAGCAGCCTTGTCCAGCAGCGTATTGACTGTTCCCCTCAGTCTGGTGTTATCTGCAGACTTGCACAAAGTGCAAAGAAACCATATGCCAAAGTTCTTCATTGAGACAGGTCTTCTTCCCACTGAAAAGTCTTTACATCTTGTGAGCAGGGTGTGAGGCGTCACAAGCACAAGCTGCTTCATATTATGAAGTGGTGAGAAATAGCGCTCTCAAGGTGTCTGCAGGAAGTCCTCTACTGCAGGGTGACGTTGGTACCACTTTACCATGAGTCCATCGTTGAATATGGCAATGGAGGACAATTTTTAAAATCTTATTCTTGGGACTGTGTTTCAGGATGGGCCAGACTTAAGTATATAGACTGGGGTGGGAGAATTGTATCATATGTCTGGGACATATGATACAAGTAGATTTCACCATGTGAATATAGGAAGGGAGTTTGTTTTCCTTCAGCCGGTCTCCTCTCCATCAGATGATTTCCAGTCTGATGTCACACCTGCATGATTTGTGTAACATGCCCAGACTATTCATTTTAGAGTTAGTAGCTTCATTTTTGCTACCTGTTGGTTTTATGCACCAAGTTTTTAGCCCTTGGAATGTTGCCAAAACTGCCAAATCATTCCCCTATTGTATGTTCACAGTGACATTTCTCAGTATTTTCTGTCCCTTCATGGAAGATTGTGGGAGCTCGGTAGCAATTCCCAAATCCCTAAAAAGTGATTAGCAATTATTGTTCTGTAAGTGCTTAATAGGGAGATTAAAACAGGCCACCAGGTGTTTACACAATAACACTCGGTAGTATGAAAATTCAGCTCTAGCTATTACATGGTATAAAGAGGGTAAACGCCTGCCCTCGGAGAGATCAGCAATTATTTTGATGCTTGTATTATATCCAATTTTCTCTAGTAGGTTGTGCCGTTCTATTATTTTTGAACTTTTCATTCCCTGATAGGAGTTTATCTGCGTTTATAGTAGCAGGATTGATCTGTAACCACAAGATCAGTTTCTGTTAAAGGTATTTTTCTTGCACAATCAGTAAGCTGCAAAACCGCATTTTTGGTCTGCCCCTTTGTATCTAAGATGGCATGTTTGTATACAGCAACAATGGAAGGGGGCTACGCTTCACATTGCAGGTTTGAAATAAGTGATAGTGAAGCAGCTTAGGAGCAGAGCAAATGCTCCTCTGTAGCAAATCGTGTCATTCACAGTGTCTTTTTTTTCTGTTTCAGGAGGTTGGAAGCATTATCGGAAAGGTCAGGAAATTACTTTCTCTCTTTATTTTCATGTCAAAATATTGTATATCAGTTCACTTCATCAGCCCAGGCTAACTTTTTTTCTGTTTCTTTAACAGAAAGGTGAGACAGTTAAGAAGATGAGGGAGGAGGTAAGACAAGCCTTGATGTCTTCACTTGCCTTTCTCTCCGGCTCAGAGAACAGGGGAATTCAGCGTGTACAGACCGACACTGCCATCAAGTGGGCACTTCATTTAACATCACCATTCTTTGCAAGTGGTGGCGTTTAAATTGTGCTGGCCTAAATTAAACATTGTTGTTATTGTAACCTCCTTATCACCGCAGCAGTCTGGCGTCTTTCATTCCCCTAGCAGTATGCCTGCTGCTCTCTTATCTCAGGAACAGCTTAGCCAGATGATTCTGTGCATCAAAACCACTGTATCTTTCTTTAGCATACCAACATCGGTCCTGCACGTGGCTTGGCCTCCTGGTAGAGAGCTTCCAAAATCTGAAACCAAGCATCAGACTGATGCTGCATAAAGTTGGAGGGTAGACACGAGCTTCAGCAGAGCAGGAGCCAGTCTTGCGTAAGCCAAAGCATCCCTCAGCCACGTCTGGCCAAAGCCTTAACTTTTCATCGTCTTGCAGCTGCGAGTAGGATGTGGGCAGGGTAGACCTGCACACCCACCATTCACATCCTTTGAAAAGGTTGTAAACACAAAAAGGCTAACTAAAACATGGCACGGCATAAACCTCAGTCTCCCCGGTGTCCACAGGATTCTTTCCCTGCCACAGAGCAAGCTGCGCTGTCTTCAGAGGATTGTGCCCAGGTGGGGTTACAGACCCACGCTTGTCCTGCAAGGCAGCACGTCTTACCTGGAGATCCTTGTAGTTTTCCTTCTTTGAAGCAAGTGCTAAAAGCATAATTCAAAAGACAAATCCTACTGTTTAAAACTTCAGGAGTGCAAAGTGGATAGAGGATGCCTCAAGAAAAGTCAGTTTGGTTCTGGTAAATGTGCAGTACATTACTATGGCAGCTGCTTTGTTGTTTTATACACTGACAGAAGGTCTGTGGCAGGGAAATCTCAAAGTATTTGTGGTAAAGAAAATTGCTGAGATCCATCTTTAAATACACACAATAGGAAGTTCATTGTCAGGCTGACTGAGTTCAGAGCTCCCTTTTTGATCATAAGAGCTTTCACCCATGTTTTCACACAAAAGTATATTTGCTAAGACTTAAAAAAAAAAAACCAAGAAAAAATGTTTCCAATATACTAGGTAATCCTGCCAGTTGATTAAACACATTTTAGTTTAATTATTAATTATGATCATGGGCAGATATCTTTGGATATAAATTGCATGCGCAGCAGGGAAGCCATCATTGGAGAGTGCTCCTGACTTCTGAGTTAAACATCTTAGAGAAGAGTTATGATCCCTGGTTAGTTTTTAAAGATAAATATCAAATGTTCTTCTTCCACTCCTGAAAACCTACCGTCATGTACATGTGGTCACAAGAGGCTTTATTTGTTTGGGTTTTTTTTAAAAAATAAAGGAATTATATGCATCTCTATATCAGCAAAGGACTAAGACATTATGTCTCCACGTGATGATAACTTGGCCCTCCTTTAAATAACTACCTTCTTCAGTACTTCTTTAAAAGAAAAATGCAACTTTATTTTGGCTTTCCTCACAGATGTGGCAAGTTGTATGCCATCTTTACAGAATGAAATGCAACTCTGTCTTGCTCTGTTGTTGGGGAAATGTCAGGGACAACTTCAGGCCTCAAGAAACGTACAAAAACCTCGGTTCTTTGCCCTGCGGTTGTTAACTTCCTACACACATATGGAGGCCACCACATAACATTATAATTGCCCTAGCTCTGTTTTCACTGGTCATCTGTTGGAGGAGCAACATCTGTGAATTTTGGCTGCTGCTGATCCACAGCGGAGCGATCTTTCAGACACGCTCCCATGGCTCTGGTTTCAAAGGAAGAGCTGTGTTTTGCACACCTGGCCTGCCCCGTGCCGGGCTGAGTCCCATGGCCCCGGGTTCACGTGTGGTGGTGGCAGCCAGATGTTGCCACCAGCACAAAGGAGCCCTGGGCCATGATCTCCTTCCTGATCTAGTGCTGGTGTTTGATGAGGGCAAGTCTCAGCCAGGTTGGCCTTGTCAGAAGTGCCTGCTTCCCTTTCTTATCTATGAAGGCTGAGTATGTCTGCCAGCTGAGTCCATGGCAGCAAGATTTTTCATCAGTAGTGTTGGATTTTTTTTTTTTCTTGTTGTGATTGGTAGCTGTCACATGGGGAAATATGCTGTCTTGCTGTTGAGCAGCAGTATGCACGTGAATAAGGGCTCAGACACACAGCACATCGACTGATTCACGGTAACCCTGAAGGCAAAGGGCCAAATTAACCCAGATTATCTCACGTTTGCTACAAGCCCAGATCCTCGAGAAGGTCAGTGCCTGTGGATGAGTTGAGGCTCCAGTGACTTGTTAGGCTGCATTAACAGATTTCCATGCCTGAAACCTCAAGGAAAGTGTAGGGTAGGTCTTACCTGAACTGGAATTGATTATTATCTACACCAAGATCCTCTTAAATGTATTTACATTTGGTTTAGGGGTTTTCTCTGCACTGCCACAGTAGCAAAAAGGGGACTAAGTATACCTGAGAGCCATCCTGGCTTGTCTCCGAGACTTACAGTTTTCTAACAACTCCTTTCCAACAGGCTCCTTGCCTTAAGGAGGTAACACCATTACTGTTGCCTGTCCTACCACTACTCCTTTGAAGGGTTGTTCAGTGCATATTAACTGACTGCCTTCACATTGGACGCATCTGTAAGGAACCTTCTCCAGGGTGCAAAGCAACAGCCCAGCCAGACAGGTCAAGCCCTGCCTTTGGGTCTGCAAACCAGAGAGGTGCATCTTTCCTGGGGGATGTTGATGCTCCCTGCAGGCAACCACCTTGTCTGAAATTCTGCAGCTCTGGTCCTACTTAAGGTTAACCTTGCAAGAGGGAAGGGAAAAGACTTCATTATGCAATTATTTGCAACTTTGAGTTACAGAGGTGCTATTTGCATACTGCGATGAAGGCTGTTTAAGTATTTTCCCAAGCAGAATCTGGCTTCCTGCTGCTAGATGAATTTTTGGAGTGTGATCAGTTTATGCTGAAATCATATGATGTTGGGGCTGCAGTTGTAGGGGAGGGAATTAGATGCCTCAAGATATTCCTTCCCAAACTATATCCCTAATCCTTCTTAGTTTGCTCCCTGGGAGGTATAAATTTGAAAAATATTTGTTCTTTTTGACAGAGTGGTGCTCGAATCAATATTTCAGAAGGCTCCTGTCCAGAGAGAATTGTGACAATAACAGGCCCAACAGATGCAATTTTTAAAGCTTTTTCTATGATTGCACTAAAATTTGAAGAGGTAAGCAAATAAAATACATTTTTTTCTCTCTTCAAGTTGAAATACAAACACTGTTTGAATTTTCTCATGTTTGCTTTAATGTTAAATATGATTTGTTTAATGTTCTATTTAATAGCAATGAAAGTGGTTGTATTTTTATAAATGCTTTTGGCAGTAACACTGAAGAAAAATAATGGGTCAATTTACAAGCTGTTTGATCATTTCTTTTGCTTTTTGGAGGCTTCAGGGAAAAGCAATTGCTTCTAGTAATGTGCACTAATGGCAGGAAAAATGTCTTGGAAAATTTCTGGTCCCATTGTGGGTTTGATTTGAAAAGAATAATTGCCTAACTTTTAGCTCTGTTTTTATGCGATTCCATTTGGTATTGATGTAAATTTTATATATGTCAAAATGAATATATAACTCATTTAACTAGAAAATTTTTATTTTAAAAACAAACTATATGATTACTAATTACCAATTACCATATTTAAAGCTTGGCTTTTAAAATTAATTAAAATAAAGGCACTAGGACTAAGTGAGGCAAGAGTTCAATTTACTATAGAATAACCATTCTGTGCAGATACGTACCTAAAGTGCTCGGATCTCCTCAAGTTTCATGGACCAACTACAATTAGATATCGTCACCATTTCAATGGGAAACCTCACAGAAAAGACAGTAGACTACAGAACACGAACCCTGTCACTCAGGAGAGGATTTGACTCCCTCCACTTTCGAAAATCATACGTCTAGTCTAGGCATCTCTCCTGTCCTCTCTGGAGAGACAGTTCCCCCTGCAGAAGGCAATACACCTTCTCCTAAAGGAAGAGCCTGCAGGCGGGTGGACTGAGTCACCTGCAGCAGGGGAAAGTGGCTGTGTCTTTCCATCGATGATTAAACTACAGGGGTGTGAATCCTTCTCTTAAGAGTGTGTATTTCTCCAAGTCAGTGAGGTTAGTCTCCACACCTCCCCATAGCACTGGGAGATGCTGGCATCGATGGGAAATGTCAGCGTGTGCCTTCATGTGCCCATGGTGATTGTTCACATTTAGAGCAACCGGACTAGAAGAAAGCAGTTGTCTTCTAGCATAAGCGGTATGTCTTGCATCTTGCAACTTCACAGTCATGATCAAAAACTAGTTAGATTTTTTTCTGTTTCTTCATATTAGATCCACAACCTCAGTTCTCTGATAATTAGACAACAACTTTTTACTCCTCACCTGAATTTATCCATAAACAGTTTGTGCAGATTTGGTTTTGTGCCAGCACTGGCCATTAGTTTAAATAATTCTTGCCTTTCCATTCCTGAGGATTCCCCTCTCAGATGTATTTTTAGAAACCAGTTTTGTCCCATCACACCCTTGCTTTTGCCAGAGTAAGCTCAGCCTTTCAGAGGATGCATTCCCCACCCCTCTCGTGACTCTGCGAGTCCCTTTCTACATTTTTCCAGTTACTGTTTATGTTAAACATGCATGTTAATTGTGGTCAGGTTGCAAATGAAGTTCCACAAGGGCTTATTTAATTGCACTAACAGTCCCCTGTCCTAGTTATCACGCTAACATATCCCTACCGCTGCTGGAAGTGCCTCACCTCCTACTAGTGCCACGTTTTGCACAGAACCATGCTGTGCCTGGCAGGTATCCCCAGCTCCTGCTCAGGTGTTTTCAGTGGGAACCTATTCAGTCTCAGCAGACATTCCTATCAGCCCTCAGACAAATTACCCTTTTTTTCATACTGCAAATGTTAATCTCATTTATATTTCTCCAATCCTTCATGGGTTTTCAGATCTTCCTGTATGATAATCTAATCTTTCAACATGTTGATAAAATACCTCAGTTTTGTGGCATGGTACATTTTATAAGAACACCATTTTTTTTCCTTACCAGTTATTAACGAGATAATAATGATTTTGAGGTTGAATCCTGCAGAACCACGCAAGTAATTCTGTCCAGCCCAATTTTAAAACCACTTGTTGTCATCTCTTTCTCAGCTTTATCTCCTACCCATCCTTTACCAATCCCTGTTTCTTCTAGCTTCAGAGGCAGCTTCATGTACAGTACCATACCCTCCAACCCACAGAGACCCAGAAAGAGCAGTCTGTCTGCTCTCTACACAAAAACCATGTTCTGCTTAGGGCCTTATCCTGAAAAATGCTGGGGGAATCATTTACAGAGATAATCCCTGCCAGTTCCCACCAAAACGAGTACCTGGTGGAAATAACACTGCATGTCTCATAAAAACATCAAACACTGCACAGCATTGGATCTCCACCCCACCACCCAACATGACGTAGTCTTTGAAAGTGCAATAGACAAAGAAAGCTGAAATTCAGGCATCTGACTGGATTTTATGCATATTTGCCCTTGTAGATTTTAACAGGTAGTCTGGACTCTTCACGTGGATATTAGCAAAGGGGTACTGGCATTCCCTGCACATCAGGTACTGCGGCTATATATTCTGAAATACCTGTACTTAGTTTTAATATAATTGGCTTCTGGTACATTTAAAAGAAAAATGTATCATATAATCAGTTAGGTTTCCTATAATTATTCCTGTCAGTAAAATGAGGTAACTGTAACACTTTGGAGACAAAATAAAGTACTGTTTCAGAAATTACAAACGAGCTAGCTACCAAGTGTTATTTTTCATGCATATCTTTTAGTTGGAGATTTCTTCAGCCATTAAAAAAAATTAAAAATCCCAGAGCAGACAGTGCTTGGCCCAGGTCTGGTTATTGCAGCTACCTTCAAACTGAACAAAAAAGATGATGTGCGAGACTGCTGCTTTGAGGGATTTTTTTGGCATTTGTTATGCGTGCCCACATGAAGCATTTTGACATGAAGCCCTTGAACCCTTAATTTCAGCCCTACAGCTGTATAGCTGGGGATAAGCAGGTCTGGAAAGACATGGGAGCCCTGGAATGCTTTTCTAATGTTAGTAAAAATCTCAAAATGTGTCAGATAGATAGATAGAAAAAAAGAAAGATCTGGAGGAGTGTTCTCTGTGCGGTTGCTCTGCAGCCTTATATCACTCTGCTTTGACAACCTTCCTAATAAAAGTTGATTTTCTAGCAGCCTGATGATGAATTTACAAGCTAGGTAGGTAATTACATAAACAACTGAAGTGTTCTACTGCAGAGGAAAAAGAGAGTTGTTTAAAAATGGCACTAACCCAGGCAGAGCACTGGAGTTGCAAGAGAGGACATTTTAGAGCAGTCGTTTCCAGGCTGGAGGCTGAGATCTCGGAAGCACAGCTGTCAGTTCACTGGTGAGTGGGGCAGCGCTGGCTTTGGATGTAAATCTCCATAATCCACTGGAAGCACATGGTAGTTACGCGCTGGAATAACCAGCAGGCAGGGCTCGGTGGTCAGACCTTCTCCAAATAAATAAGAAAAAGTTTGGTGGAATCCTTGTTCATCTGCAAACATTTATGAAGAATTTTCTCAGCTCTAGGAAGAAGGAGGAGAGAAAAGGAAGATGATAAAAGCAACTGAGATGATGCCTTTTTGACAAACATTAACTCTTGCTATTACAACTATGGCATATCCTGTGGTGGTCATTACCAAGCGCCGAGCCACCTCAGACTCATGCTTACTGTGAAAATTGGCAGGTTTAACATTTCATTTAGAATCCAGTAAAGAAGAATTTTGATACGGTTTTCCCCGGAGGTTTGGTAGATTTCTGAGCTGCCAAGTTTGCTTGCCTTGGGAAGCCTTAGATGCTGTGACTCTGGGATGCCAAGAGCCCGGGATGCTGCAAGGCTTCAACAGTGGGAGCTGGATCTCCCACCACTTCCAGGCTCCCAGATCCTGGTTGAGGAGCAGCCCAGGCAAGCGGGCAGAAAGCCATGCGAGGTCCAGCTCAAGAGTCTGCCAGAGTCCTGAGGGAATGGATGCAGTGCCACAGAAAGGAAGACATTAGAGTAATAGGAATCTCCCAGTTTGAAAGATTGACTGTTCTGTGAGAAAGTTTCCAGCCAACTCTACTTGGGAGCCTGTGGTTTTGGAGGGGATTTTTTTTCTGTTCATTTCTCTTTTGTTGTGTTTTTAAGCTGGATGGATGCCTTCATGGGTGGGCTACTGAGCCTGAGTGTTTAGGTTTTGCTCTTTTTAAATGATGAGGAGAAAATAAAGAGAATAGTGGCTTCCAATTTTTGTGAAGTGCTTTTGAAAGCACTAAGTGCGATGGAGACTTTGAGGCCAGGCCAGATATGATATGGAAGTGGGAGACATTATCAGGGTCGTGCTGGGTGGCTGAAGAGGGTTATTTACCTACATCTGGAAGATCGTGTGCCTCCACCTGACACAAACATGATATAGCGAGATGGCATCTTCCAGCTGAAAAATCGGCGTGACTTGGGCTTTATTTCAGATACATGGGTGCTGCAAAATTCTGTTATCCCTCTCATTTTATTTTGGATTGCAATCTCTTACTGACGGGGCCACTAAACAAAATGTGAGTTACTGCCTGGCAGAGGAATGATTTGATAGCTGTCTCGTGGCATGCAGCAATGCCTCATTCCGTTCAAGATTTTTTTCTTCTCTTTTAAGCTAAGTAAGGTCACACCAAGCCATTTCTTGGATGGAAGACCACTGCCATCACAAATGTGGAAGTACTGTAGGAGTCAGTGCTGGCGTCACTGAGCTCCCACACTGGTTCAATGAGGCTTGCAGAGTTGTTTAAAGTATTTTTTTCTTTTTCTGTTTCTTTTTTTTTTTTTTTTAATTTGGGGTCCTGATCACTCAGTATAGGCACTTTTTTTTTAACAAGTGGTAGTCTTGATAAGCAAGAACATAGGGAATCACATAGTTCTGTCTGCTGAAACTCTTGTTGCATCATAAATGAGTTAAATACATATGAAATGCATGTTTTCTGTTGTTCCTGTCCTGATCTTTTGGATAGCATTTCTGTGAAGGGTGTAATAGCTTTGCCATGCCACCTCACAGATGGATGAGATGGTCTTTTCAGCTGACAGCTAGTGTTAGCAAACCACATTGAGATTCTCATGAGTTGTTGGACAGGTGCCATGCAGCTTGTGCCTTTTTTTTTGTAATCCTAAGTGCTCTCAACAGCATCCCATCGATCGGTGGGAAGACAAGCTTTATCTTTTCCTCTGTGATGAAGACTTTAGAGGGATTGTTTTGTCTTGCCTAGAAGATTTTGAACAAACAAAATATTTTAAAGCAATGTAAACCTTGCAACAAGTAGTATACTGAAATGCTCATGAGAGCGTATAGTGTAGCTCACTGAATAATGAGATACAGGGATATAGGTTACATTACCTAGGTACAGGTAATTCCTGTTTTGCTGAGCTCTTTGTACTCTGGTTACATAGCTGTGATGGAAAAGATTTTAGAAATTATTTAGCACTACAAATACTTATGGATCTGCTACAAAAGAGAAATTAAACCTGGGGGCAGTAAAATATTTATCAAAATAAGCTGATTTTCTCTGCTTCAGATTATTCACAGATTCTTTTTTAAACTTTTTTCTTGGTGTCAAACCTGACAAGAAATTGTGTAAAATGTAAAGACATATCATATAGTAGAAATGTTCTAATTGAGACGGCGCAAAAGAGACCAAATGAGGATTTGGGGACCTGTGAACTCAAAAGCCTCTTTGTCTTTTCCATTTGCTTTGGCTGGTGTAATGACAGATACCACCTCCTCCTCCTCCTCCTCCTCCTAGTCTTGCCTCAGATATTGTCCTCTGGCCCCGCAGCATGGACCTGCAACGCCAGACAGTAAAAGGGTCCCTCTGGCACAAGCCGCTCTCGCGGTTCGTGCTTACGGCGTATCACCGGCAGAGCCGGCGGCTTTACCTGCAACACAAACAAACCATGACCGGTTGCATGCTCCCCAGATCTCCACAAACAGCCCGGACATTTGCTCTGAGACCTTCATTGCTTACCAAGGATGACAAATCCTCTGCTAATTCTCACTGACGTTGTGATTACAGGACATAAACGCTTCAATGACAAACAGCACGGTGACAAGCAAACCGCCTGTAACGCTGCGGCTCGTCGTCCCGGCAAGTCAGTGTGGATCCCTTATAGGAAAAGGAGGCTCCAAAATCAAAGAAATCAGGGAGGTAAGTCTTGGGATGTCTGCTGGGAACGCTGGCTAGCTCAGCATCCTACCGTAGCCGTTTAAAGAGCGTGCCTTGCCAGCATCGTCTACCGCACCTTGTCCATTGCACGAAGGTGAGCATGTGCTGAGTGAAAAGCCTGGAAAAGCCTTGCTCTGGGGCGAGCAGGGGTCCAGCACAGCTGTACCCTTCTACCTTGCTTGAAGTCAAAGACCATACGTGAAATAAAGAAACAGCTTTACAACGTATTAGCCTTTGATGCACAATTTAGCAAAGGAACAGTTTAGCAACAGAAATGGCTCGTCCAGTTTCTCTTCAGACGCAGCCCCCTTCCCAGCAACGCTCAGGTGATCCTCAGTTGCAGCGTCGCAGCCATTTCCAAATTAGTTACCACCCTTGCAGGCAGAGAAAGGCCCAAGTGGCAATGGGGAGTCCAGGTTAGTGTATCAAATGCTTGATCTACTTTTTAGAAAAATTTGGTTTTCATACTCCTTTCCTGTTTCTCCCTAATCTCACTGTGCCACAGGTGACTTGATTTCCTGTATTCTGAACACATATTGGGGTTTTTTAAATCCAGATTTTATCCAAAGGTATAATTCAATGTGCTGTGCTAGGAGCCACTTTTTCCTCTCACAAAAAAATGCGAAGATTATCATACAGTGCCAGTGTCAATTCTTCCATGCATGACTGTAACAACATAGCACATGCTAAGCCAAGGATCCAATGTTTGTAATCAGTCAAACAAGAAAATTAGGTACATGCTCCATTAGGTAGAGAAAATCTGAAGAGGAGATTTCAGAAAAATGGATTTTTGTTCTGGAGAAAGTATTCTTCTACATTTGTATTCATCCCAATACGGAATGAGGTGTTGAATATCAAGATAACATGCTGATCCATTTTTTTCATTTGACTGTGTCAAAACAGAAGCTTTTGACAAGTTCTACCAAATTGAAGGTTCCTTTCTTAAATCTGAAATGTAGATTAAAGACAGTAGGTTTAATTGAGCTTTTAAGTTTCATTTCACATGTGAAAAAAAAGTTGGTTTTCTATCAAAGAGAATTTGATCAAATGTTAAGAAGGAGCAGAAAATGCTTTGATCAAAATTATATGTCCAGCATTTACTATGAAGTGTTAGTTTATGGTAGCCTTGGAAGGAAAGGTGATCACAGAGGACAGTTTGGGGTCTCATCCTGTTGACTTTCAAGTTCTTCCAAATTATTTCATTTGGATTCGAATTTGATTGTCACAGGAGCTTTTAAGAAAGATCCTTCTGAAGGCTGCTGCTGAAAGGGTCTTTTTTTTTCCTCGCGTACAGGGAAGTAAAAGCAGCGTGTACCACTTCCATTAACCGACAGAGCTGCCAAAAGCTGTTTCAGAGTTTGCCAAGCAAGCAGCATGTTGTTCCTCCATGTGCCTCTTGCTTTGTAAACTGTGTTCATGAAAACATGACTAGGTTGTCTCCTGTAAACTCACAGAAAAACAATTCAGAGCCCTGTCATTCAAAGGAGTCTCTGTGCTTGCTGAGACCTGCAAATAAAAGGCAATTACAAATCAGATGTATTTTTTTTTCCTTGGAATGCTATTACTTTATTTTTCATCAAAGAGTTCAGGAGCTATTCCTTTCAGTAGTCCTTATTGTCAAACCAGCTTTTGAGGTGTGGGAGAAAGGAGTCATTTGATGACACTGAGGAGAAGAAAACATTATTTCTGTGTAGATGTTAGGGTCATAGGAAACCCTCTCTCTTTTTCCCTTTAATCCCAAAAAAACTTTGTCAGAGAACTTAGCATAGATGGGAGAAGATACTAGTGTATTGAAGCACATTTCCTGGGTGGAGGGAAGGTTTTCAGTTCGCCTTACGCATGGGACATTTCCGGCTCAGATTCTGGACGGCCACCACCGTACTTGCTGGTTTTTAAAGGTGAGCGTGGTCTGTTGGTCTGTGTACAATTGATGGCGGAAGTGATTATTCTGGTGAGCATCGTTTCAGAAGCAGTTACTCAGTAGTCTAGGACAAGGAAGTAAAAAGATAGTGTTTGGCCAAATAGGCGTTTTGATAAGGCTAATGTAGTGAGAAGTCACACTGCGCACTTTCTTAAGAATAAGGGTAATGTACAAAATATTACACATTTTTTCATTGCTGACATATGACCAAAGTCAAAGAATAAACAAGATTGGCACTGGAAGCAAATGCATAAATGACTGCAGTATTTGGCAGAGTATTTTGTGCTAGATGTACGGATACCAAGAACTGTACGTTAAATAGCAAATACGATCAAACAGAAAAAGGAGTATCCACCTCGAGATGTGGTCTAATTTCATCATCACTCAACTCAGTGAGCAGCAGTTGCACGAGGGATGGTCTTTTGTGTTTAGTCATTTACCCAGGAATAACATAAGGTTGCTGTACTATTTTCAAGATAAGATTACAAAAAAAAAAAAAAAAAAAAGAAAAGCATGACTGATTGATCAAATTATGGTGAAATTCTGAAGCCTATTATAGAGCGAGGAATTGATATTCTGGCCTTAAACAGCACTAGTGAACAGAAGATGCAATCAGTAATTTAATCAGTCTTTGGAAAGAAGAATAACATGTTTTGTATGTAACCAGCAGGAAGACAAATTAACTCCTTGCTGACTGACACAAAGTCAATGGTTACTGAAAATACTTTTCTTAAGAAGCCCAAAATATTGCATTGCAGTAACAGTCAGGAATAGATTTTGTTTGTAATACGTGAAAGTTCTAACTCGATATGAAATGCCTGGGTTTTTTCTATTGACTGAGAAGGCCTTTCAATATGTTAGTGAAATAATGCCAGGGATTGTTTTGGCCTCATGTATTTTTTTCTTTGTGTGTTTTGTTGTTGGGTTTCTTTGTTAACTAAGATACATTAGTGCCAAGATCAAATTTTAAAATAAACAAAAAACAACAACAAAACCCCCCACAAAAACCTGGCTCATTACCTCCTTGGGCTCATTAATGAGCTAAAAATTGATGATGTGCATATATTTAATCAACACTAATTATAATTTAGAAGTGCTTCTGTACCATCCTGAAATATTCCAGAGTGTAAGGCAGCCCCAAATTTCATCCAGAGACACAAGTCAGCCATCAATGGATTAAAGAGCCATTTATCTGCAACTCATTTGATTAGCAGACCTTCTCCAGTTATCAGCATTTTTCTCCATTCTTTTTTTTTATTATTATTGAAAGTACTTCATTTCACCTTTATCATTTCTTAGTCAGCATTGCAACCGACTGTCTTTGAGGGGGTTAAAAGACTTGTCCTGAAATTCAGGTCATAGTTTTGATACCTTAACAGCTACTGAGGATTAATCTTCCTAGGATGGGAGTATTTGCAAATTGACTTGAACAGGGAAATCCATGTCCTGCCAGACCCCAATTACCCAGTCTGAGCCTGAGTTTGCATATCGCGTATCTAGCAAAGACAAGACAAAAAGTTTAGCGGTGCATGCCCGTCCATCTCATCGGTGAATCACTGGGTTTTGAGAGGCGCTGTTACCTGCCCGAGGGTGATGCTCTCTTTGCTTTGTCTCTGCTCCAGTCCACAGGAGCCCAGGTGCAGGTAGCGGGGGACATGCTGCCAAACTCGACGGAGCGCGCAGTGACTATATCGGGCACTCCCGACGCCATTATCCAGTGCGTGAAACAGATATGCGTGGTTATGCTGGAGGTAAGCGAGTACTTGGCTTATCACCTCTCACTCGGGAGATGCTCGAGCACATTATTAATTTTCAAGTGCCCTGGGTTCCCCGGGGGGTGCTGCCTGCCCTTCCCTTGCCGGGGATTTCAAGAGGACTCTGTTAGACTGTGCCCTGCCTGCTGTTTGAGAGCCTCTCGCAGCAGGGTTTAGCAATCAAAGACCAGGGCTTTCACGACACTGTCAAACAACAAACCAGCTCCAGCGTGGAGCTGCAGCCCGTTCTGAAAGAAAAAAACAAACATTTTATTCTGATATGGAATAGGGCAGAAAACATCTAGGTCTTGTTTTAAATAGAAATAATTCTGACTAGTGTAATTTAGATTTACCAGGATTTTTTGCTTCCTTAGGGTCAGGTCATTGCATAAGGCCAGAATCTTTCATTTTGACAGCAGTTTTTTAGCTCTTAGATTAAATGATACAAAATTAGTTTATATAAAAATCTGGGCATTTTGACCCTTGCAGAAAATGCCCCAATTTCATGCAAGTACATTTCTCAAATGATTAAGTTGAATAGAAGTTTGGAGGGAAAAAAAAATCAGCAAAACAAAATGAAATATTTTGACCTAATAACCATAATTTTTGACAAGAAACATGAAACATCTCTGCTTTTATCATATTTTTCTGCTGAAAAGTTTTCTGTGTTTTTTTCTTGTTTTGTTTTCATTTGGGTTTTTACCTAAGTCTAGTCGAGGGCTGTGTCATTATGATTCCTGACACCCTACTGTTCTGTTATTCTTTAAAGAGGGGAGAAACAGTGGAGCGTTTGAGACAGAACTGTGGGTTTGGGCTCTTCAGAAGTATGCAGTGGATCAAAATGACACACAGCCTTTGCATCAAAATGTCATACAGCCTAATGCAAATAAAAGCATAAAAATTGAAAAATCCCCAGTGTTTTACTGGGGAAGAGTGACTCTCGCTTTTTTTTTTTTTTTAAAAAAAACTACTGTGAGGAAGGAATTTCTTTATATAAATGCAAAAGAACAGAAAGAAAATATTAAAAAATCATTTTAGTTTGTTAGAGATGAAGTATGTGATGGCAATAGTTATCAGCTCTGTGAATACAATATATAGTCTATTGTCCAAGTGACATTCATGGAATAGAGTTATTTGCTAAAGAAGATGAGAGAAGCCACTTCTCAAAATCAGAGAGACATGGTCTCATTTTCCTGCAGGTAGATCCACTTTTTAAATAACCAGTTTTGACACAAAAAGTACTTAATTTTAATGTAAGTCAAATTGCAAGCAGTACTAAGACGACACTGGTTTAGCTACATTTTGCTTCTTCAAACGTTTAAATAACTCGGAAAATGAATGTGCTCTAATTTGCAGCATGTATTTAATTTGGCAACAAACACTTTCATTGACATGAAATAGCTAGTTATATGCTATTAATTAATGGAAGTGGTATTGTTGTTACCTTCTTTAGTTGTAGTTAATGCACTGAAACCAGGGCACCATTCTGCTAGGTGTTCACACACAGTGAGGCCTTTTTTACAGGCAGGTGCTTCTGCTTTATTTACGAGGAGAAAGTTAGCCTCGGTGAGGGGTTTTCCCTTTGGGTCCTTGCCTTGGGCTACAAGGGACAAACTCTCTTCCCATGCGTTACGAAGGCCTTGGTTATGCTCCTGCAGAAGCCATGAGGATTTTTCTCCAACCTTCCAGCTCAGTCAGACAAAAGGCAGGATCAGACTGGTCATTTGCGATTGAGCAGCTAACAAGAAAACAAGAAACCTTGGTGTGTAGCAGCGTAGGAAAGATCGATAAGCAGGAGATGTCCTCTGTGCTAACAAAGCAAGAACACAGGCCGCATTCTTCCAAAACATCAACAAATTTCAAAATTGTGCCCATGTTTCCTGAAATGCCTTGACATGCTTAATGAAGCTTCATAGCTTCATCTGACGATGGCGGTGATGAAGCCACGAGTGCCAGCACTGCCTGTTTCGGCTGTGCAGTCGGGACCTCGGGTCTTCCCCTCGAAGCCCGGACAAACGGCGTCTGCCTTGCTTTTGGGCTGATGGGGGGGAGGGCAGGGCGGTGTGGGCTGGGCTGGGCTAGCTGCATGCCTTGTTGTCTGAGGTGACCACGATAAGGCGTGATTGTGTTGATACGAGCTCTGCTTCATTCTGCATTTTGATCACTTTTTGTTTTTGTCTGCAGTCCCCACCCAAAGGTGCCACCATCCCCTACCGTCCCAAACCTGCCTCTGCACCTATCATTTTTGCAGGTGGCCAGGTAAGAGCAGACACCATTTTGGCTTCAGCTGGGAACCACACCGTCTTGGCCCAACCTCAGCCAGCGCCTGTTAGTTTTCAACATTTACTCTTTTTTGCCTGGTATAGTATTGATGTGCTTTGTCTACTCTGTGTGCTTACAGTTTGCAGGAAAGGAGAACACTGCATTGCAAACTTGACACAAACTTGTGATGACTGGTATTTTACCAAGATTTAAAATTAACTTCTGTAACTAAGAAAAGTTTGCCCTGCTACAAATTGAGAAGTGTCCAAATCAGATGCTCCCTGAGTGGGACAAAACTGCTTATTGTAGGGGTTGGTTTTTTCACTCTTGACTTGTAGCTCCAGTAGCAGTATAAGCAGTTTTGTCAACTTTTCAGAGATGATCAAACAGCAGGATGTCTCTTCTCATGAAAGGCATAATTTTTCTCTCATACTATTCATATTTTTAGGACCAAATATTGCATTTCGCAGTAAAAATTTACACACACATAATTTCTGCTGCTTATAGTCCCTCAAAACCAAAGAGCAATGATGTTCTGAGGTCACAGGAACTACAGACGTGCAAGTGCAGACCTTCCTAACCATGGCATGCAACAGCCTGATTGATAACACAGAGCTTTCTTGGTTTTTTTTTTTTATATAGTGAAGTTTTGAAGATTCCCCCTTCATCTTAAGCTGTATCAGTCAGGGTTCTCATCTGTCTTTAAATCCCTGTGTGCAACATGGCTCTTCCTTGTCTTTTGATAATGCTCTGAAATGGGTCTGCAACGTGCCACTACGACATGGCGGGAATTTGCTCTGCCATCATCCATTGCGGGGGGAATGCAGTTTTGGTAAGTGATGAGCCAGCAATGACCGCAGCTGATATGTACCCTAAAAACCCCACCGGAGGCTCACCCATACAGCCAACAGGCTGAGAGCAGCACTGCCCAGATATGTGCAAAGGTGGAGGAGTGAGATGCTGCAAGCCCTGCCCAACTGAAGGGGACATTCATCTCCTAAATCTGCCATAGAGGGAGGCAGCCATCTCTCTACTTGGAATTCATATATGTGAAGCCTCTCTGGCAGTGAGGCACCTCCATCCAGCCAAATCTTTTCCCCTAGATGACAGCAAGGCCCCTTTTTAAGCAGTTCCCAGTGGGAAGAGCCACGCACCTGCATGGTGGAACATCTGCAGGCAGGTCACATCTCCCTTCCCATTAACCCATGCCAGGTCATCACTTCGTCGTGATGATAGCAGCCCTAGAGACCATGTCTCACCCCAGTAGGCAATTCAGAGGTCGTATGAGAACCTGGACAGGCGGTTCCTGGTGGGACAGAGGGCACAAGGTGCTGCTGGTATTGTCGGTGGTGTGGTGACCCACACCTCCCTGATCTGCCAGTTTGTAAGGAAGCTCCTGCACACCTGAAGCATACATCAAAGCATCATTGCTTCTGACAGGTCCTTGGAATGAGCTTTCTAATTTTTGCCTGAGTTTTACTTTCTACTCTCTACTGATACATTGTGATGTGTATCCAAATTTTCATAATCTGGATGTAGTAGCTTTCAATTCCTAGTGCTCAAGCCTGCCACTCTTAGTTGTCTTCAAAATAAGAAATCTGCTTCCTTAGTGGCCAAATTTGAATTTAAATTTAAAATAATTTGCCATAAATTGGTTTATGACTGAAAGTTCAGAATAATTTGCTCCACATGTATATTAAGTTTACACTGCAGTGCTTTCCTTTGAGAAATATGTGTATATATATGTAGCAGCTCATGTTACCAGTATTGTAATTGCCACTACTTTCAAAGACTATCTCTGTATATGATTACTCAAAAATATTGAAACTGTTTGCTAGAGTGCTTTGAGCAGTTGGTATAAATAATTGAAAGTGTCGTATTTTAAGGTCTAATGGCTCTTGTCATCTTCAGGTTTAGAAGTTTAAAAAGTGTTCTTACTTTTCTAATGCAACCTTGTTGATGTGAGAAAGACTGTAAGAGATAGACCTTTTCTGTGTGCTTTGAATTTAGTCTCTGACTAAGCAAACTTTTTAAGAAAATGCTTCAGGAGTGTTTGGGAGTCAATGTGGAAAGACACTTTAACCAGATTTCATAAGTGGAAATTAATACTGAAAATAAAACTTTATCAGCAGTGTTAATTCCACCCAACCTTTCGGCTATGCTATCAGAAGTAATTTTCCATTCTAAATTACATCATGGATATCTTGAAATGTTTTGGTTTGTTTAATGGTTTCATATCAAGCAACACTAGCAAAATCGAATTTCTAGTTTTCCTTAACAAGTTGGGGTTCTTCTGCCTTAAGTACTGTTCTTAATTTTCTTGTGCTTCTTCGATACTGCACTGCATGACAGAACTAAAAGGAAGCTGAACACTGTCCTGCCTGCTCTGCCCATTAATATTTAGCATATGCAGTGGTTAAAAAATAAATACATCCAGCACTCCCGCCTGATGGAAACAAATTGGAAATTTCTACCCACTGTGCTACATTGCTGTTTAGATGGGTACTCACAGGATACAGCTTTGCTTTATGTCTCATAGCAGTTTATGGTTTAAATCGAGGAAGATTTGTAGACCAGGTCATTCCCGCTGTTACTAATGTCAGTACGTCAACTTTGATGGAAGCAGACCCGTAGCTCATGTCCTTAGTGAAACGTTACAGTACAGATGTCCCAGGAGCCTCTACCGGGCTTGTTCTTGGCATGCCTCAGCCACTGAAGGGCACAGTTCTTCTGCCAAGGGGTAAAGCAGTCAAAGACAGATTTCCTCAACCTAAATCAATCAAGTGGCTTTTTGGGAGCGTAAGAAATGAAGAGTGCTTTTTTTTTTTTTTTTTTAAACTGGGAAAGAAAATTCAAGACCCATCTTGTATCTTGTCCATGCTGCTTTGATGCTTTTCACTGACAACCAAATAAAAGCTAGCCTCAGCTCAGAATGTTCATTATTTCTCCAGTTTGTTTGCTGCCTTGTATGTATACATGGAAGTATGAGGGAGTGAAGTGATGAGGAAAGGGATGATTTTTATTAGGTTCGCTGGTGATTTTTTTGCAGTGGTTTCTTGCTGGTTTGCAGACCACTGCTTGGGAAGCACCCGTGTAAAAGATGTTCTCTCAGCTGTCTTTGAAGTAAAGCCAAGGTCAGAAGGAACACTTGTGGTCCATCACAGAGGGTCAGAGACCAAAGCATGGTTTCCAAACCCACTGTTTGCCCCTGCCCCGCGCCATTTCCAGCTATAACCTCCCCGAGGCTGCTCCTCTGCTTGGCTATGCACAGAACACCCACTCAGCAAAGCAGCGTAACATCTCCTTAAGGTTGTCCTCATTTGCTAAAACACTTCAACACATGCTTTGCTTGTTTGCATACGTGCTTGCTTAAGACCCACTGACAGCAGCGATAACCTGTTTTGGTGGACTGGAACCTTTTCTTGTGATTTATAAACCATCGGTAACGGCCATCCCTTGTGGATGCATGAGAGTACGTTTGCCCATGATCACCCCATTGAGCCCAGTCGCACACACTTCTGCCTGAAAACTGCTCATGTGCATAATGTTTGCCAGATTGCAGCCTTGCATTATAACTAATTTAAAAACTAAATGAAATGTTTCTTCTCCAGAAAGGAAATTCTGCTGCAGAAATGTGCATCAAGCAGTTGAGGCATTAAAGGTTTTAATATCTGAACTCCATTAAATGAATTGTTTTAGCATTTGCAGAGGATTCATTACTTTCTAAGAGGCCTTTTGTCAAATAAACATTTTGCAAACTAAGCTAATCAGCTCTGTTCCTGTTTATAGTTCTCCCACTACAAATATTTATACGTTATAATTTGTCCTTCTGCTTTCCTGCCTGTCTAAGCACAAGCACATTAAATTTTTTCTGACGTGCCATCCCTTTCAGAAAAGCCCTACAGGATATAATAGAAAATTATAATCTCTATATAGTTTTTTCTTTGTAGGCCATTACAGAAGGTTGAACAGAGCCAGCAGGAGAGACAAAGGGCTGTGCTGACTGGTGCCAGGCATGCCACTGTATCCCTCCTCACCCACGTGCTTTTTTTGCCTCCCCCACCTCACCGCAGTGCTGCCAGAAGTGATGCCAGAAACTATACCCCTTGCGCTGCTCTTGTGGTGCAGAGGGGCTGGATTTAGGGAGGGGATATTTGGCTTTTTGTGGAAGATAAGACCACCACTCTGGGGGTCTCCATCATGCTCCTATCTCCAAACGTGGCCAGTCACTGCAGGACAGGTGCACATCCAGCACGTGCGCTCATGTACCCGCTGGCATGGCAGCCTGGGGCACAAGCCCCGTGGGGTGCATCGGGGCACACATTTGCTGGCACTTAGCATCTGTGGTTGCGGGTAGCCAGATGAGGTGGCTCGGAGCCGGCCGGCGTGTGTCACCGCACACAGCAGTCAGGAGCTGGATGCCAGGACAGGGCAGGGCATCCCCCAAGCAGGTCTGCCCCATCCTCGCTGCCCCCCTTGCTGCTTCGGTGTCAGCATCTCCCTGCATGCATCAGTGGCACTGGGCAGATGGGGGAGTGGGGGGGGGACAGGACATGACCACCCTCCTCAGCCTCCATAGTGTCCCCAGCTCTGCTCCTGGCAGACGGAGCTGGAGTAAAGAGAGTTCCTGAGGACCAAGGTCATCAAAGCTCAGGCAGCAGCACTTGGCATCCTGTGCTTGCGAGGGGTGCATGGGCAGCTCAGCAGAGACCTTTCCGTACGGTGCCAAGTGTTATCAAGCAGCACAAGACAATTAAGCCTCACTCAGTGTTGAAAGCAATGCAGGTGGCATTTACCTGGGGAGCCAGGAGGAGCTTTTCTGATGAGAACCCATATGTTGCTTGTCCCACCTGACTGACCTGTGTCTTCACTGTGCTTGTTGTTTTCAGGCGTTCACGATTCAGGGCCAGTATGCCATCCCTCATCCAGACGTGAGTCCAGCGCATGTAAATTACTTCCTTTTTCTTCCTCTCCCTCGTATTTGTTCTGGGCAACATTTGCTTTCTACAGTTAGCAATAAAGACATGGCCTAAGGACACCTTTCCTGAACAACACACTGTATAGCCAAGTGTTAGCTCAGCTGCAACTCTTACCTTGTGTAATAATTGCTAGAAAGTACAATGGCCCAGGAACAAATGACAGTTATCTTGCTCTTTTTCGCATGTGATATATTTGAGTTCTTTTAATATGTAATTCTACAGTAATTAGTTAATATTAACAATAGCCATTACATGTAATAACAGTAGAGATGTCATTTATAACCAGTTTGGGTTTTATTTTCTCTGCGGTAGATTAGAATGAATGATTAACCCCTTTTTTTTAAATATAATTTTAATTAATCCTGTTTTAGAACATGTAAGATGGTTTCTCTGCTCTGAAATAATTCCATTTGATTGGTTAGTTCTAATTTCCCATCCTGCCCTGCAGTTGACCAAGCTTCACCAGTTGGCTATGCAGCATCCCCCCTTTACTCCCCTTGGGCAGACCACCCCTGGTTTCCCTGGTACGTACCCATGACCCCCTGGGGATGTCCTTCTTCTTAACAGCTTTGTTTCCCGTGGTCATTACATCATTTTAATAATAAATGTGGTCAATGACCAGCGATCCTTCTGTTTTTACACATTAATCTCTGTTCTTCCTTCCCGTACCTCTGTTACAGTTCCTTTCATCATTACTAAAACGTGCTTTGTTTGTTACATTTATTTAATCCAAACCACTTCATTTGTGCCATTGGCTAAAAGCCCTGAGTTTATTTCATTCCGTCCTTGTAAAGTTATTACGGACCATACAGTATGTACCAGTTGGTCCTGAGTGAAGTCCTTGGGCGTGCATCTTGTCAAATTCCCAGTTTGGTAACACAGTTCAGAAAAAAGCAAACACAGGAAAACAGTATGTAATTGTGGTACAGAAATACTGATTAAAGAAATTACAGCACGCTGAAACTCAAATTCCTTGTAGAGCCAAATGTCTTAAGAGCATCTGGGGATAGGGATGCCCCCTACCGCTGCTGGGACAAGTGCCTCTACTAAATATGCAGATATAACTACAACATGCAATGGAAATTTAGTTAAATTAAGGACTGCAAATTTGGTCCATACTTATTAAAGCTGAAGCTGAATTCTTGATTCAAGAGTAAGAAGTCAATTAACCCTGTAATAAACCATTTTTACTGTTCTTCACTACATACATGCTTGACATCTAAAAACTTCACAAAACAGAAGTACATATGTACTGGTACATGCTTTGTATGGCAAATAACGTTTTATCACATACATCGAATTCTGTGAGCAACTTGATTTTCTATTCTATGTAAAATAAGCATATGCAACTCGTAATTGAATGTAAACATAATAAAATGTAGGTGAGTCACTTTTTTTTAAGAGAATTTCTTTTCCATCTTTTCTAGTTGGAAATATTTTTGGCATGTCTTTACAGATAATAATAATAATAATTAACACCCAAAAAGAGAGAAAAGGACAGAGACATGACATCCAAAATATACTTTTGTTTCTTCTTGATGTATCTGATAAAATATTGACAAGTAATACTAAATTGCCTTTCCTAGCTTTATATTTTCCTTATTCTTGTCATTAACATGCTGCTCCTTAATCTTGTCCTGGTTATATTTGTGAGATGTATCTTTCTGTAATGTTGCTGTGTGTTAGAGCAGTAATTCCATTTTTCCTGAGCATTTTCCTTTTGTCCACCCAATTTACAAACAAATGTATGCAGCTTAGAGTATTTTGTACATGTCCCTTCAAAAATTACCCTTCCCAACCTTTCTTCAGCAACTAATCCCACATATAATTTCCAAATTTTGGTAGGTTAATTTCCTCATCCTTATTTTAATGTATTAATTTTTCTTTTCAATATCTATGCATTTTGTTCTGCTAATTGTTCGTTTGACTCTCATTTTCCATATTCTAGAACTCCTGGTAGACAGCTCAAATTTCAGCCATCCATTAATTTCTCAATTGATGTGTTTAGAACAAACTTGAGAGATTATTTTTAGGGGAAACGCTTCATTTTCTGGAAGTTTTTTATGACCTTGTGGAATCTCATGTGACATTTGTTGCTTTGGTGGGTTAAAGGTTAATTAAAATAAGACTCATTTAAAATTAGTCCAGCCCTCTGAGTTTTGCATCTCTTGCTTTCTTTTCCGTTTCGCTAGCAGCTCTCTCTTTTATTTTGCTCCTCTCTTCTTCTTTTTTTTTTTTTATCTTCTTTCTGTATTTTTCCTTCTTTAAAATATCATTTGTTGTGTCTTGCCCTTCTTCCAAACAACTGGCGTAACATTTTCCCTCTGTCCCCTGAATAGGACTGGATGCCACTACTCCAACCAGTTCCCATGAACTTACTATTCCCAATGATGTAAGTGGACCAATAGTCAGTATCACTTTCTCTTCTCTCGCTCCTCTGCCACCAGAGGGGAAACCGCTCATCTTTGGCCGATTTGTAAATGCTAGCAGTCCCCAGAATAAACTGTACGGCATTTAGTCTGTTGGGGAGGGGGTCTTAGGGGTTATCGAGGCGCTAGACAGATGCAGCAGAAGTGATTGTCCCCTCTTGTGTCAGGTCTCCGGCGTTGCGGGTTTAGTTGCAGGACGGCGCCAGTGCCGTGGTGCTTCACCGGCTTCGTTAAAGCCTCTGCCGCTTACCGTGGACTTAGATGAGTAGTTGGGATTCATCTCTTGGGTGACGCTAGCACGGGCAGTCTCAGCAGAAGGGTTAAAGGGGGCAGAAAACCGCACAGCCCCATGTGCTGTGTGTTGGGCTGGAGTCCTCCATGCCAGGGGGGTGGAGAGCCTGCACCGCAATGGCTTGTGCCATGCTGGTCTCCACTGCACCCCACACTTATCCAAGACTGCGTTTTTTTCTGAGCAAAAAAGCTACTGTGGTTATGTAAAAGTGCAATATAAGGGTTTATTTGAAAAACAAGGGCTAAAAACGTTCCTGCTCCGGCAACTCAGGACGGGCTGTGATCGACAGACCCAGTCTCCGTGAGCAATAACGTGCTGCATCTTAAAACAGCTACTCAAAATGCCCAACTGATGTGCTGCGTGTCATATAGAAGTGCCTTTCCATTTTATTCACTTCCATTGCAAATGGGGTTGGTTTTTTTGCAGTTTTCATTACAAATGAGTCACTTGGAAAATGGAAGATTTCCCCTCCAGTAAAAAAAGCTTTCAAGCATGAGCAGGATCACAAATAGCAATTATATTACTTAAGAGATACTTACAGTATTGTGTAAGCCCTATTAAACTCAGTGGCAATGATTTACAGTAAGAAAAAAATACAGAATAACAAAGAAGCGAAGGTGAATCTTTTATGACTGTTGTGATTTTGTAAGCTTTCTGTTACTTAAAAGATGTCCTGCTGATTTGTCAGCACCCGCTTTATAACCCAGTTTATTGAATGTTGAGAGTTTTATGGGAGGACTGTATTTATCCTTACAGCGCAAGTTTTTTAATCTCATTTTCAGGCAGATATTGTTCTTGCTGTCAGTGATATAAATCCAAGGTAACTCTTCTGACTTCTTTCTGCATTCATAGCAGAGAAAGAGAGGGAGAAAGTTGGCTTTGCGTCCTGCAGTGCAACAGAAAATTTTTAAAATCATCTAGGAGGTATGAAATGCACCAGCTCAGCCTCATCTGCTGAGAAGCAAACATGCAGAAAAAACAGGAGGTTTTTCTGGCTACGCAGTGCGTGTCTCGCTGTCGTTGCCGAAGGAACAAAGCCAAGACCAAAACAGAGTTAGGCTTTGCAGCAGCCTGCAGAGGCTCTACCGATGGTGAAAGGGAGTTCTGATGTTCGTACGGCGTCCAGGCGTGCATTAAAGGACTGAAGGGCCTTAGTGCTGCCCACGTGTGCTGCGTGTGCATGTGTGCGTGCGTGTGTGCAACCGATGCTGCAGTGCCAGCACAGAGGGGAGGAAGGGCTTTCACGTCCCATCCGGCATCAGGGGCTGCTTGGGAATTTTGCAGGGGGAAAAACAGTTTCCCCATGCATCTCCCCGAAGCGTTGGCTCTGCCCGTGCCCCGGGCTGTCAGCAGTGCCCTGCCAGGCTGTCTTCAACCTGCAGCAGCAGAGGGTACCGTCCCTGGGGTCTCCCAGCGCAACCCTGCGTACCGGTGTCCCGCAGCCCCACCACCGCTGCAGCAAGGCTGCTCTCCAGGCAGCCCATTACCAAAAATGAGGAGATGAGGGAGACGGAGGGAGATGGGGCAGACAGGGAGCTGGGTGAGGAGGTGCCAGCACCCGTGTTTCCTGTGTGCCCTGTCAGACAGACGCTGAGCATGGAGTGAGGTCAGGGCGGGAGAGGCAACAGCAGTTGTGCAGCAAAGCCTGCATGCGTGATTTGACTTCGCTTTCCCAATAAGCATCTCCTAGTCCCGGGTTTCACAGACAGGCAGTCAGTGTGGCACAGTGATTATTTATCTGGTTGAAGGTGAAGGAAGCTGCAGGCCCTTGCATGGGGCTGTGGTGCACCAGTCCCCTGCCTGCCCCAACTCCATGGATCCCCTGTGCTGCAGGAGCCCCCCAGCTTTCTCAGTGTATGTGCTTATGTGTGCAAAAGTCCAGTGTGCAAAAGGAGAACATGAGACTTGCAAATATCTACATGCTCTGCCACTACCAGAGAAGTCAGTGTAGATCTACATGTGCTACACTTATTTTTTTAAAACCAAGACAAAGATAAGTACATAAAGCCAAAGCCTCAGTAAGAATCTGATGGAGCGAAATCAGATATAGAATAAGGGGTTCAGACTTTAGCCTAGTCTATAGAAAGTATATATTAATAACCATTTACAATTTGCATAGCTTTATACTAAAATAAATTTTCCTCACTCCCTGTGGCATTAAGGCAGTGACAGAATTTTTTTTTTTTGTTAATAATTCCTGTAACAACATCATGCTGCTTTTTTCATACAGTATGCTGGTAATTGCAACTAACCTGTTGCTCAATAACAAAGAGATACTGGAGAACAAAGAAATACATTTTACAGAAAGTTATTTTCCACATGCTAAAAGCTGAGGCTTCCTCTCCAAATAATGAATTCAGAAGATTTGACTTTCTAGGGTTTCTCATAACTTCTGGGTGTCTCCAAAAAGAGCACAGGGAGGACATTTCTCCAGGTCCTTCTCAGAAGTCACTTTGATCCTTGTCTAGTATCTCCTTTTTCTCATCAAAACCTCTTATAGGGACATGTGGTTGCATTCCTTTCCTTGCTGGGATCTTGCCTGGCTTTCTGCTGCTGCTTCAGTTACACAATGTGAGTGTGTTTCACACAAATCCCAGAATCATAGAATCATAGAATAAATAAAGTGGTGTAACAGGTCCTGAAGGGAATGGAAGGGATGGTATCCCTGGGTGTAGCTGATTTGGCACAGGTAACAGATGTCTTAAGATTTCATGATCCAATCCCCCAAAATGCCCCATTGAGAGTAAATGAACAAACCAATTAAAAAAAAAAAAATCTGTCTAATTAAAAATTATGCATATTTTGCATATATGTGGGAGAGACAGGCAGAGGCAAGTAACAGGAAAAGAACTTCCCCTCAGAAAGCACCAAGAACATTTTAAGAAAGCTATAAATCTGATCAGTACTCCGTAGAAACACAGATATCAATCCATCCGAGTTGGAAATGGCATACTGGAGAATCACCTTTATTTCCCCATGAAGCCAGAAGTACTTCCTTGCAAACGACAGAGGGACCCACGTGTGCAAAATGCTCTCAGAGCAGCCCACAGTGAAATCCAGCGTCGGCTCCGCATGATGCTCCATGGAGGTCCGCGTGGCGCTGCCTCTTCCATCAGCGGTCACTGGGAGGACTGAGCTCTCAGCTTTGCAGATCCCCGATCCGTCACCTACCGGTGGGGAGAATCGGCGCAAGGAGAACATAAAGGCAACGTCCGACCCAAGCTGTGACTTCCAGCAAGGCCACCCACCACCTACCCATTAGAGGAAAAGTGCACCTCACCCTCCCTACAGCCCTCTTCCAGAAAAGTCCTGAGAACAAGTCCCATGTTCGTATAAAACTAAGCTGCTGCCTAAGTCCGTCCCTGGCTGAGAAACTTTCCAGTTGTGTGAGAGGGTTTAAAAGCAATGGTTAGGCAAAGACTTAATAATCCGCACCAGACGCGCTGGTAAAGGTCCTGCAGTAGTGTAAGTCAAAGCAGTTCTACTGAAGGCAAGGGACCTGTGGATTCAACCTCAATAAATTCACCTTACTGCTTAGGGCCTCCCATGTGATAGAGAAATAATGCCCAGAGCAAAAATACAGAATTAACTAGATTCTGTCAAATAGGCATGTTTGAGGGGATGCGTTATAAAAAAAGAAGTCATTTTTATCTCTTCTGAGGTGTTTGCACATGAGCTGATTTTTGTCTCCCGTTAATCTGAAAAAAAGGCAATTGATTCTTCAACTAGACCTGTCCAGATGAGGTCAAGAATCACAAGATTTCACACGCTTAATAGCCATGAAGGTGTCACAGAATAGGTGTCACAGAAGCAATGTTACACCTTTGGTGGAACAGGGCACTCTTGAGCATGAAAAGTAATTCCCCCAGAACCACCTACTGCTCACTTTACGTAACCAGGTGGGAACTGACATTGGGCCCTCAGTAAACTGAAAAGAACGCAAATCCACAGAGTCGTTTGGGTTACAAAACAAGTAATAAGAAGGCTCATTTCTGAAAATGTTTTCTCACTTTTCTGTATGCCTTCTTGCAAAGACTATAAAATAATTATAGTCCAGGTTTTGCATTATCCTGGCAAAGAAAGTGAAGTTGTTTTTTTATTTTATTATTATT